TATGGTCATAAACAAGAGAGGAGTCTGAGAGTGCTTAGTTGTCATAAATACAGAAAATAGTATCAGTAAAATAGTTGGTTCTTCCAGGAGTGTAGATGATTTTTGCATTGTATTTGCTGATTTCTCCTATCCATTGTGCTCTTCTCTGTCCAGTGATCTTGTCAGTTTTCAGATTAGTGAGGGGTTGGTAGTCAGTGATAATAGTGAAGATGTTGCTAATCAAGATGTGGTTGAAGGTGGTAAGAGAATTAATCACTGCAAGGGCTTGCTTGTCTGTAGTTTCTTAGTTCATCTGTGAATTAGTAAACTTCCTACTGTGCAATACTGCTGGTCCTGCTATTTCATGTAAAGGTCCTTGACTAATTCATCTTCTAACTCCAATATCCATTGCATCAATAATCAGCAGGATCAATTCTGGTTTACTGTAGTCGATAGGCTGTATAACATTAGCATTCTTAATTAATTCTTTAATGTTGGTCAAGGCTTGGTCATGAATGTAGGTCCAAATGAATTCTGTATTGCTGGTAAGGTCTGTGAGCAGTGCAGTTACAGTGGTATGGTGTGGTAGAAACTAGAAGATATAATTGACAAGTCCTGAGAACTGCATAAGTTCCTTTTGATTTTAGGCTTTCAACTGTCCATTCTGTTTAACAGGATATTTTTCCAGGGGCAGCACGTATTCCTTCATCATCGATTACATGTCCCAGGATATCGAGCTTGTTGGCAAACAGAATTAATTTGTTTTGACTAGTGTAGAATTTAGCTTCCCTTAGCTTGGTACATACTAAACCTATGTGCTATACATGTTCTGCTTTAGAGTTTGAGAAAATGAGAATATCGTCAATATATACCTATACAAAATAGTAGAGATATTCACTTAACAGGTTTTCCATAATCCATATGAAGGTAGTAGGCGCATTCATTTCATCTTGTAATATAACTCAGGTAATAAAACCTCGGAATATTATCTTGAAACTGTTGTAGTGTTTGCTTTCTGAGTCTAACCTTATCTGGAAATAGGCATTGCTTAAGTCAATCTTACTTCAGAATCTAGCCCATCCTACTGCATTCATGATCTGAATTTGGTTTGGGATAGCGGAACTGTCTATAACCATGTTTTCATTTCAAAGTTTGAGGTCAACCTGGTGGCAGATTCTCTTACTGTCAGCTTTGAGTTAGACCAACATAGGTGCAGCACCTGGTGCTTCCACTTGGTAGATAACTCCTCTCCTTTGTTGTTGGTTTATCCAGTCACATAGCGGGTTTTTGTATGCATCAGGGATGGAGTAGGTAGGTTGGTTCTTAAGATTAGAGGGGTCTCGAATGTGGATGTGGTGGTTTACTTCCCTCATAGGTAGTAGTTCTTCTGAGATCTCGTCAGAGAAAACATCAGAGTATTCATCTAATATGTGTTAAGCAGTTGCTTCACAGACTGCAGCTCGGTACTCTCTACTCGTTGATTTACATAAGACTCTGACTTTCTGTTTTGTGCAATTGACAGTAGATTCTCCACATCTAATTATGGCCTTATGGTAGTTTAGGAATGGCATCCCAATCAGGGTACCATATTTAGCTCAGTTTCCAACCAGTATCTCCTGTGGGAGCAGTGTAGCAGAACCAAGTTGGACAGTTGAGCTACAAGTCTTATGGCTTGTGGACTATGATCTTGTTACTGCTATATCAACTGGTATGGGTTGGTTTGGATCTTGGGTTGGGATTCCATGAGCTGAGACAAAGGCATTACTGATTATATCCCTTCCAATTATGCCAGTATCAAACAAGACTCGGGCCTTTCCACTATTGATCAGAATAGTACCTTCTAGGGCAGTGTAGGTCTTGAATGTAGTGGATCGTCGGACACTGTTGCATTTCACATTGATATATCCAACATGGATCTCCTCATATTTGCTAGATTGGGCGTTATCACTATCACCTTCCATGTTATAGGCTGATGCCTCTCATTTAATTGCTTGTCTTTTGCCTTTCTTGGTAAGAGAATTCTTTGCCATAGGTCCAGTTTTTCTGCAATCAAAGTATTCACCCTTCTGGCATCACAATTTCTTGGTGGACTTTGTTTTTTTCTTGAATGCTCAGGATATTGGTTCTTTAGAGTTGTTGGAGTGCTTGTGTCAGAGTTATCAATTACTGCTAGAGGATGCCTGTATCGTGTAGGTCTTAGTTTCATAGAGGATAGCATTCTTTCACTCTGCTCTTGCGATTATTATTGACATAATATCGCCTTCTTCTTCCAGTAACTCTAACTCTCATCGGAGAGTTGAGTGCATGGCGTTGTAGAATCGTCACTTAAGGATATTACTGGAGATGCTTCCTTTCTTCATTCTTTTTTTATACATCAGGAGATCTGTAGCTACATCAGTGATTTTTTTGATATTAACTTGGTGAAGCTGATTGAACCTGTTGTATAGTAAGTCATTTGTGATGGAAGATTGAAGCCGATTCTTGAGGTATTCCAGTACAGTAGGTCTCCTCAGCCTTGCATTTCCTCTATATTCCTTGTAGCATTAGTGGTATGAATTAGTTGCACTTCCTTTACAGAATAATCCTATATATAGTTCAGATATAGGATTTTCTATGTCTAAATTTTGTAAGAGAAGGTAGTGCATGAGTTCAGTTACCAATAAGTCAAAAGCTTCAGGCTTGAGGTTTTTCCTTTCTCCTGTGAACTTCAATGGGAGGTAGAGCTTGAAATTAAGTAGATCAGGTAATTCAGGTTCTTCTTCTTCAGGCCATGCCCTAGACTTTTCTCCTCCCAAAGTCCCTACTCCTGTAGTAGCCATATCTGATTCGCCACTGGATTCAGGATCGTTTGACAGTTCAGAAGTAGACTTCTTTGCTGAAGTAGGTGGGAATCCTATTGGAGGTCATGGGGCTTCCCTGTTTGCAGGTTCTTCTAGCTCTTTAGCAGAGTATCGGGGTTGTTTCTTCCTTGAAAGGTCTTGCCCTAAAATCTTCTTCCCACTCTTGGTCGTCAATGACTCTATGTTGGTGTTAAGATGAAGCTAAATGTACTGTGATTCTGCCGCGTCTCTCTGCTAGTATTCTGAGATGAATGTCAATAGGTTGATTAGGCCTAAATCTGGAGACAGGTTCTTAACTACTTGATAAGGTTAAAAAAATTGTAATATGTTCATAAGGTACTAATCACATTATCAGTAATTAGTACGATAGATAGTTGGCAGGTGGCTTGCTCTACCAGAAAGGTGACAAGATCTGAGAACTAAAGGAGGCTTCAAAGGTGTACTGAGAAAATAAAGGAGTAACTATTCAACCAGGTATATTGAAATATTGTCTGTCAAAGTCTGTCTTTCCATCGTGGAATCATGCTGTCTTTAAGTATACAAATCTGTTCATTTCTAGCATGAATAATACTAATCAATAGTATCAAGCAATACACTTTGGTAAAACAACTTAAGTATTAAAATAATACTTAAAACAAAACATAAAATAAAACCAAGTATCAAAGCGATACTTAAAACAAAACATAAATCAAAACCAATAACCGTGTACCTGTACCAGTTACATGTCTTATATTGTGGAAGATTTTCTAAGTCTCCTCAGCTACTTGTCAAGTGAAGCATAATGGAACTAATCCTAAATGTATCATTTGTTCTGTTCTCTTTTTATCGAGATTTTAGCCTTTCTTTACTATTATTATGCTAAGATGTAGTATGACACCCTACCCTATTTAAGATCTAATAGAGATTCATTTAAATGTACTCACCATATCTGGTATCACAGGCTTTATTTATGTTAGTTAATTTAAAGTAGATGCCTTTTAATACCTAATTTGCCAAAAGTAGTTACTGCTACTATTATCAAATACTAGTGTATGCAAAGACTTTTTTAACTTTTCCTTTTTATGTCTGTGAGGATTTTACCCTAACCCTAGCACAAGTACTGTATTATCTACAGAACTCACAGTGGCTGCCACCTACTTCTCAGTTCTTAGAAGTTATTAACATTGGTTACAGTCACAACTCAAACACATTGCCAGAACTTCGTTGGTTTTATTCAGGAGTTGTAGTATGTATGCTTGCTTGCTATCATTGGTTGCTATGCAAAATCCCATACAAATTGGCTGTCTTGGCTTGAATTTTGTCATTGCCTTCATTAAAAATTTATTCGGCCCTCTCCAGGACACATTCCTACCTCATTGTACTTCCAGTATAAGCCTTTCAGAATTCTGAACCATTTCTATAGTCTGACATTTAACTATGTGAATCTTTGGATTAAGCTCTCTATCAATAAATTTTTTATGGAGTTAATAGGCATGTATGAAAAGTGGTGGTTTGTATAGAAAACCGCCGGGGCATGTTTCTTCTGTTGCCAGGCTTGTGGAGTGCCCTTAATGCCAAATGATGGGCGATTCGGTAGCTGCCGCGATGTGATGGGTGGCAACAATGCACCAGGTCATGGTGCGCAGCCCCTGGAAGAACTTGTTGTTTGCTCGGGAGGATCAAAAAAAAAAAGGATCCTAACGCGCCCCAAAGAGGCATCCAGGGCACCGCTTTCGGACCCTCCTCGTAAAAGATCACTCGGGTTTACGGTTCTTCTCTTCTCCGATCGGATTTGGTGGGGTTACACTGGGATGGGGTTTGGGTTCTCGCTTCGTTTGTCAGTCCTATCAGTCAAGGGTATCATAATAATATTATTGATATCTAAATTGCCATATCGGTCAGTCTACGGTGGTTTGTCCGGAGGGGGCGGGGTCCTTGCGCAAGGGTGGGTTGCACGCTTACCCATGTAGTCTACTTGTAGGATACAGCTGACTTGACGGGCGGAACAGGCGGGCAGTGCGATACCGGTAAACTGTTGTGTTCACGGTAAGGGTGGTTTTGGTCTGCGTGTGGTATTTTACACTTTTGCTGCGAATAACTCATCATGAACTCCATGATGCTGCGCTCCGGTGAGGGAGAGAGGCTTACTGTATCATAGTTTTCATGATATCATACTTGTACTAGTACACCGCATCGCACATCGCAACTTCCACAAAGATCACTCCCGTCCAATCCGGTTGTCCCCATTCCACTTTCTCCCCAGCGATTCAAACTCACTTCTCCCTCAAGAGTTCCAAAACCCACTCTGGCCAATGATGACTTGACCTCAGCCCGATCATAGCACTTCTGCCCGGCATCTCCCGTTATCAATCAATCAAGAAAATCACATGAACTCTTGGCAATACACCAGCCCAAGCACTAAGCCGAACTTTACCAGGGAATTTTCCCTACTCCAACCTATCATCTCCTTCTTGCTCCCCGAACCTGAAACTAGGTTGGCCACCGCAACCTTATCCAGGTAAATGCCGCGGATCCCCATCGTCAGTGCCCCCCGGGGCGTACTTTCTAGGCTTTTGGCCAAAAAGGTTGCTGTCAAGCAGGTAGGTGAAGTTTGATGATCATCATCACGGATGAGTGATTTTGGCCATGATACGAGGGATGATGGGGGGCTAATGTTGGAAGGCGTTGGCAGTGCCGAGAGGTGGTCTGAGGGGCAGAACTAATGCCAACAAACAGACGATTGACGAGAGGAAAGGGAGAGGGGAGAGGGGAGAGGAGATGGAGAATAAGGAGGGTGGGAGTATGGTGTGGAGACCGGTTGATTGGACGAAGCGGGGGTCATCGGCGGGGTTGGAGGCGGGGGAGTATTGGCCAAAATTGGTGGGGGTTGAGGAAGGGCATGCTCAGGTTCGTACTTTTCTCTCTCGCTCGTCGAGATGGGAAGTTGGGAACCGGGCGGGGCGGGATTGAGATGGGTATGTGGCTAATGGGATTTAGATCTCTATCGCTCGGCTAACAAATCTCGCGACCAGACCTCCGAGTCGGAGAACTGGTTTCTCATCTCCACGGCAGCTCAGAATGGTTCCCAGAAGCTCTGCGAAGATTTCCGAATTGGAAGAGAGGCCTAGTCTATTGCCAAAGTTGGACGCAAGCTCCGACACTCTCGCTGCCATTCGACTGATAAATATGGCGATTGTTCTCTCTTCTTCCCGCGAAAAAGCTCTAAAGGGGATTCGGGCAGTGGATATCCGGCGACAGGGCGGTGGGTTCGAAGTTGTCTTTAGTAGTCAGGAGGAAAAACTCACCGCCATGAAGAATTCCTCCTGGGTATCACTGCTCTCCGGCGGGTCACCTCCTGAGACCAACGAATGTGGGGGCGTTCGGAAGAGCTTTGGCCTAGTAGTCCATAGCGTTAGCTGCCGGGGGTTCGCACATGCTGGAGCGAAGGACTTTATCAAGCAATTGTATACTGAGAATCCCTGGGACCCCGAAGACGTGACGGTGGTGGACGCCCGGTGGATCGGGAACGTCAAAGAAATGGCTTCCACCAAGCGTGGCTTCCGTTCAATGATCCTGTTCTTCAAAACCCGAGAAGCAGCAGTCACGGTACGGGAAAGTGGCCTCTTCTTCAACAAGCAATACCGTCCACCAGAAAACATCATTCCACTAGTCTCTTTGCTTGCCGCCCGACAGTCCCGCAGCAATGCCCAAGCGGTCACAAAGGAGCGCTTAGAAGCGGGCAGAGAAGTTGTCGTCTTCACCGACGGCAGTAAAAACGGCCTGGAAGCTGGCGCAGCAGTCTGGCGGAAAGCCGACTCTCGGGGGGGCGAAATCAAAAAGATGTATGGCCTTGGTACGAGAATGACAATATACGACGCGGAGCTATACGCCATCTGGAAGGCCATAGGCCTCGGCGGTCGTGTAGCTCGCGAACGCGGGGCGAAGAAATTGACCATATGCGCTGACAGTCAGGCCGCTCTCGGCGTGATGGCTCGTGGCACGATCGGCCCTGGAAGCCACCTTGCCCTCCGTGGCCGTGCCCAGATGAAAGACCTTCACCACACACACGGCATTGATGTCGCGCTCGAATGGGTCAGGTCCCATGCGGGCATACGCGGGAATATCCGCGTAGACAAACTCGCGCGGGCGGCGTGCGCGATCAGACAGAAGCAGAAGGATAGCTACACTAGTGAGATACTGGCCGAGAGGAGACGGAGCAGGGAGGAGTGGGTTCGGGGATGTAGGGAACGAAGGTTGAAGAGGTGGAAGGCTGCGAAGACAGAGGCGGAGGAGGAGATGGAGGCCAAGCCAGTGAATTATGTGGTTAATACGGGTTATGGTAAGTCTCCGTTTAAAGAGTATGAGGCGCCGGTTGTTGTGCATTATTAGGTTGGGTTGGGATGTATATATAGCTGCGGATTAAATTTGTGTATGTGTAAGTAGGCGGAGGGGTAGAATCGCTGTAGGCGAGGTCACGTAATATAAACTACTGGTCAAGTTGAGACATTGGACTTTCAAACCTGAAGCATGTGATCACGATACTAGTGCAATACGCATAACCCTTGGCCACGCGCGGCATTGGTTGTCAGGTAAATGAATCCATTGGCTACAATATGGCGATTCCGAGCTCCCGACTCCTCATCCTCCTTCACAGCAATCCTCACACAAGTAATCACGAAATATCACTCGGGTAATCACCTGCCCGCATAGTTTTCCCGATATCCTGTGAGAAACACGACAACCCATTCAGTGTGCACCTCAGGAACCCCCCAGCCCATATCCACAACCTGGGCTCACGGGCCACCGATCTTTGTCGATTCAATAGACCATTCTGGTGATGGCGGGTACGTTCGGGGTGTGATTTTGTCTTGCCGGGGTGGTGTGGTATCGTAGTGTGGGGGTGGCAGGGTGTAACTTGGGGGATTTCTCTCTACTGGTTGGGAGGGCACGCGCCTATTACTTGATGTGAATGCCCGACGATGTGGTGTCAAAGATTGGGGTAGGGATACACTGGGATTGTGGAAGCTATCTCTTGACTTTTTTCTGGGTAGGATGGATGGGGAACCTGCGCTGCGACTCTCTTTTGGATGCGGGGTTTGCGCCTCCCTCCGGGGGGATTTGTTGTGGCCGTGTTAGTCCGAGGTGGTGATGCTTTTAAGCAAGTGATTTCGTATGACGCCGGGTTTCCTGGGTGGGGGAATGTTTAAAACACTCGGACTTCGGCCTGACCGGGGGAGTTTTCCTCCGGGGATTGGTCAGTCGGATGGTGCCTTTTGCGTCCCCCGGTGACCTCACTTCAACCGTTCCCGATCCGCTTTCCTCTGGTATCGTGCTTTATACCTTCCACCCTAAAATCTCAAATAATCGAACAATGTGCTATGCGGTCGAAATCTCCCTGCTTTGGAGATGGGTGCGAAAAGTACGGCAAAAGAAGAGCTGCGAAGCCCCTCTGAGACATGTAAAATAAAAAGATGGAAAAAACAACTAGACCTTTTACCAGGGGGCAACTCCAACGACGTAGCACATTGTTCAATTGGTTGGGATTCTACGGTGGTCTAATATTTGATATTCGCTGGACCGCTGGGCTCGAATGCGATTATTTGGGATATAACTAATCGGGTCTTTGGCCCTGCAATTTCCTTCTGTTCCCGGACACATCCGTGCTGAAAACGTTGGGGCATCTCGGCGAGCGGGGTGGAGTGGAAGAAAGGGGGGAACGGGAAGTGGGGCTATGATGTTTGTTATTGATTGGCCGACGGCTTCGGCTTGTGCCTGTGACTATATATTTGTAAAGTGGATGTGAGGGGAGCAAAGTGCATGAAGTTAATTGCCTCCATGGCCGTATGGCACTGCAGAATTCACGTTGCTCAGTGAGAGGGTATGATAATGGGAAGTGGGGAGAGTCGCCGGAGGGGGGGTTAACGGAATACTTGATAGGGATGTAGATTTGTATAGGTTTTTATATTTTCTTAACCATTTTGCTGATATCGTTGTCTAAGATTTTTCATTTTGACCTCTCTCATCGACTTTTCTTGTTCTCCATTTTTGCCATTGGGTATGGTTTTGGGTCATGTACTGTACGTTCAACTGCGGTGATGTCGACATTACCTACATGACATTGTTGTTGCCTCTCATGTTTGATATGGGCGACTGGTGAAGCACTGGGCATGCCGCAATCGTTACTGTATGATACCAGCTCGTACTCGGTGCCATTAAACTAGTCTAATCTAAGAACAAAGGCGCAGTGAAGACGGATTAGGTTGCACGTTGGGGAGCAGGGGGGGGGCTCGACCTGTTCGGTGAAGCCTAGAGATGTGCCGGATAATTCCTATCCGTTTCTCGAGAATGGGGTCCTATGAAAGTCGTAGAGATACCGCCAGCGTGGAGGAGGTTATCGCTTTCTCTCCATATACGGTCAGATGGAGTTTGCGCTATGGAAGAAGGTGTAGGGGTGGGGACGGAAATAGGAGCTGTGTAAAAAAGATTTGACGAATAGATTCGCCGCAGCATAGGCTGTCTCGATTTTATATCATACGGGAATTTCCCTTTTTCCTTCGTAAGAAGCCGTGTTAGAATGGTATAAATGCTCATGATCGATCACTCGATATCGGGCCCAGCAGCTTTGTTGAGATGAGCTATGATACAAGTATAGTGCTCGAGTATGATATCGTACAAATTATATTTTTCGTGGATGGGTGATATTATGATATATAAGATATAAGAATATGAAAAGATTTACTGTTTTTGCATTCTGATGATACTAATTCAATAAAGGGAAATCTGAGCAAGGATGGGAAGGAACAGTTTACTTGAAATCTACAGCATGATTCTTCCATAATATTATTATTATGACCTAAAAACAACCACTTTTCCCTTTGCTATAAGTTACCCTCTTAGTAGATTTAATAGGAAGGAGATAAAACGGTATGATATATCATGATATTCTTAAAAAAAAATACTGTAGTATTTGTGACATGCTGAACACATGCTCAAACAAAAACAATGAAGTAAAAATACGCCATAAAAGTGGAAATACGATAGTATTTTTGCCATGCCGAACAGGGCATTATTCCTTTCTCAATGTTCTCATATTTTATTTATATATTATTCCTGACCGGAACATACACATAAAGTTATTTTATTAAGAATCCTTATCAAGATATCTGACTTCGAGAATAGCGTATTTAAATTAGATATTATAATATATGAAAAAATATAATGGATGCACTGGGAGAAGAGCATAACTTACAAATCCTACACCTCATCGTACTTCTGACCCACGCCGCAGCCTTATTGAGGAATGTCAAGCTGTTCAGTCACCCAGTTCTTGTCGGGGAGGTTTTGCTTTTCCCACCCAGAAAATAGGTCATTTAGTAATAGCTAATGCTGATGGGGATAGAACTCCTGTATTCCACCTAATTACACAGGGTTAATCCGTTCCCGAAATATTAGCCACCGCACAGGGTGGTATTGTAAGCAAATACATTCTCGAGAGGTGAGTTCATAGCGTAGATCCTTTTCCGCATAAATGGGCAATCGCAAGCTGAATATTCAAGATGAGAGGGAATATTTCGTCAAGAGAAAGAAAGGATTTGGGCTGGTGAAACACATTGATAAATGTATAGTATAGGGGTACTATATTATTGTCCCTGACTGATGGTGGTTCTATTCAGGGGATTGCTGCCAACTTTGAAGCCGTGTACCGCGAGCATCGATTGACCACGAGAGAAAGCCTAATTCATGCGCGAGTGATTCATAGTGATATTTTGAGCTCTTGGATCAAATGAAAGCACCCAGAGACAGGGGGGTCCTCGTCTTTCACACAGTGCTAGTTCATCCTCCTAGCCCCTAAGTCACCATTGGGCTTTCTTCGCGATCGAGAATTTTAGATATCGACCTGAAGGGTTTTCAAGTTTACGTTAGTATATACCTAGAAAGGGCTTAATTTTTCAGATCAACTAATCCCGTTGCACCAACAAGTAATAGCAACTCTCTAAGATTGACTTCATGAAACACTTTGGCCTTGAATTCCAATGTATCATGATGACTCACTCATCCTCTGGAGGGGGTATCATGATATATTTTGAGAGTAAGATACTCTCATAAGACACCGCCACAGGACATTACCAGCAAACACAACACCTCTAAGCTCCCTAAAACACAGACCAAACGCACTCGTAGCTATCCCAGAAAAAAACAATAGGAACAACATCCCGATGATCGTCCTACACATCCTCCAAGTAACCCTCTGGTTCTTCGTGGGTTTTCCCTTCCTCCTCGCACGAGACACTGTCCTCCCTCCTGCCCGCGCACTCCTCAACACCCCACTCATAAAATTCCTCCTTATTCTAACCCTCGACATCTGGGCCAACATCTTCCACCTCTTCAGTCAAATAACGCGCGAGTCGCTCAAACTTCTCTTTTTGGCTATCAACTCATGCCTCATGCTCATGGCACTCGCATCCAGAAACTATCCAGAGACTCTAACCTACACCCGTTACATACCCGCCATCCTGACTATAGAGCGGAACATAGTCGCAACCTGGCTCGTTGTATTCCTGACAATGAATTACATCGGACTATCCTCGGACGGCGAGGTATGGCGTATGATGAGGCACCTGAGGGGGAATTACTATGGAGTGCTGATTGACTGTGCGGTCGCTTGTGGGTGGGGTATGTGGGTCGCTGGCTCTTTTAAGGAGTGGGTGGGGGTTGCACTGTATGCTGCTTTGGCCATTGTTGATGTTTACCAGTTGGACTGGGTTGGTGATAGAGAAGGGAGGTTGGCCCAAAGGGAGAGGTTTGAGGTTTGGGAATGGTGTGCACGGGCTATTCGGGACTGGAGGGTTTGGGTTGAGGCCCAGGCGGTGAGTGGTGGTGGTGGTGAGAATTTGGGGATGCAGGCCGAGATACCTGGACCGGGAGAGTCCCTCCCGCACCGAGCCCTCGGCCGGAGGATTCGGAGAGCGCAGTTACTCCAGAGCCTATTATGATACTTCAGAAGCTACCAGCACCCCTCTCGAGACCTCCAATATCCAGACCGAGCCCCAAGTTGTAGACACCCCGGGCGGAGATATCTCATCGCAAGCTTCCTCCACCCACCAAGGACTTGGCTTTACAAGTTCCATTCATTAGGAATGAAGGTTCAAATTATGGTCCATCCTAACCCTTATGGCACAGAACAGTGTACAGAGTATTGCCACTGTTTTACATTTCGAGGACTTCCAAGCGACACTTCCTACATCATAAGCTTATAATATGATACCTGACCTGTGAAGATACCACGAGTAGCTATAGAGCGAGTTGCAGAAGCATTTTTGAAACCGAACCAGCCTAAATATCACTTTAGAGATCACATCGTGACCGAATTCTCTACACCAGAATTATAGTTTTGCAAATGCAATGAACCCCGAGCTCCAGGATAAAAATAAACGCTGCTCCCGGCCCACCATATATCTGTCCACAAGGCCAGCATCACTTGTAAAAGCCCTCCGAAATCCACCC